GCCAGAACTCCCATGGATGATACTATGTAGTGGGGTGACTTGTTTGAGTTTCCTTGCTTTCTACCACCAAAAATCTATACATGAGTGTCACAAGATAGCCAGCACACAGGTATGTAACATGAAGGGGATCTGCAGCCAATGCTAGTCAGAAGAACGACATAGCTCACCAAGAGAGGGCCCTACCACTGGGCAGTGAAGCAAGAAAACCTTGTTTCTCCTATTTTTCCACCCAACCTCCACCCCAGAAGGGCTGGACCTACAGAAGGAAGAGGGAGTTTTATGTGCCTGAAGTATTACATTGTATTACTCAGCCTTCCAGCACTGTGAAAAATATCTGACAAAATCAATTTTATGAAATAAAGATTAATTTTGTCTCAAAATTCTACAGTTGCTTGGCCTCACTGCTTCTGGGCGATGGTAACACAGTGTATCATGGCAGGAGTGCATAGTGGGAAAGGTCTGTTCCCCTCATGGCATTAGGGAGTCAGAGAAGAAAAGGCCAAGTTCCCAGTATTTCTTTCACAGGCATTCCTTTCATACCACGGACCTAACTTCCTTTCACTAGGTCCCACCTGCTAAAAGTTCCAACACCTTTCAACACCTCCCAGTAGTATCGTAGAGTAATGACTAAACCTTTCACATATGGGAGATACTTAAAATCTAAACCACAACACTCATGAGGTTTAAAAGGGCGTTGAAGGAGGAAGTTTAACAGATTCAAATTCCACCCTCAATCTGCATTCCTCAGGTTGAGCCTGACCTATCAGAGAGAGAGGAGAAAATGGAATTTAAATGGAATGAAGCTGGAAGTGCAAACTGGACTTTAGAAAATGAAAGAGCCTATGGATTCTACCCAAGATGATGTTAATGGACAGGAAAGGAAGGTCTAACAGCTTGTGGTTGAAGGCAGTGATAGCACAAAAATAGAGATGTTTTTACACTCTGTCTCCCACTGATGACACAGAAGAATGGATGGTTGGATGGAAAAAATCAGGGAGGGGAAAACTGAGGACGACCTTCAGATTTCTGTCTTGGATTATAGTTCTACAGGCAAAGCAACCATGCAGTGTAACAGTGTGGTAATCAGTAGCAAAGGTTAATTTTAGATTCTTTGAAGAAGAGGACTATGTCTTGGACAACATGGATTCACCTGTGTCTTGTCAATTCTTTGTTTTCACTAGTGTCTTGAAGTAAATAAGTTAGAAATATATGGCTGGAGAATATTTGGCAATATAATTGAAAAACTATATTTTCTTGTATTTTATACTTTGGATACTTAGACCAAACACCAGGAAAAAAGAATGAAGTTTGAAGTAAGAGAAGAGAACCAAAAATTATTCACTAGATCTGTATATCTCATACTTCTATCAATTAAAGACTCCTGTAGGTTAAGAAGCTCTTCTTGTTTTTTTGTTTGTTTGTTTGTTTTTTGGTACCGGGGATTGAACTTGGGTCCTTGTGCTTGCAAGGCAGGCCACTGAACTGCTGAGCTAAATCCCCAGCCTGCTTTTTGTTTCTTTTAATGTCACTCTTCTGTTTGTTCCTCCTAGCATAGAAGATTGGAAACCTCAGCTACCCCAAGTTTACCCCATTTTGTCCAGTTCCAATCAGATTGCTTTCTTATATTTCTGTCCACTGTTCTGATTTTTCATCAAGAAGAAAGGAAAACAAAAGAGATAGAAGTAAGAGGCTAATCTTGCCAACCTGCTACTGAGGAAACAAGCCATACCTTTGTGTGGTTTTCCCCATCAAAGTCCCCTCACTTATTACTTCTCCCTTTTTGTTATTCATGTCTTATTTAATATCACAAAATTGTAGGAGCAAAGAACAGTCTTCATATACCTTTATCATAAGATCAACACATCTTTCAAATAGAACATCAGAGGTAGCCAAAGAAAAGATAGAAAGCATGCACGTGTGTAATTTCAATACATTTAAAACACCACCATCTCAGGGGAGGAGGGGATGAAGGGAGGGCAGGGACAAGGGGAAAAAATGAGAACCAAGATCTGTCATGTAAAGGTACAAGAGCCCAGTGATGAATGTAACTGTACTGTATACCTAAAATGTACCAATAAACTTAATTAAAAAAATAAATAAAACACCACCATCTCTTTATCAAGCATGTGAGAATCACACAGTAATCCCAATTACAATAGAACAGAAAGCCTCTGAATACATTATTTGGAGTTTCAGGCTAAATTTGACTTAATTGAAGGAAATATAAAACAATTAGAATATTTTATAGAAGTTGGCCAGGTTTTTCTGCAGAGGGCCTGTGAGCATTTTAGGCTTAGTGGGCCACAAAACTCAGCTCAACTCTGCTATTATAAGGAGAAAGCATCCTTAGATAATATGTAAGTGGTGGGTGTAGCTGTTTTCCAGTAAAACTATATTTATGGACTATAAAATTTGAATTTCACATGATTTTAAGGTGTCAAAAATACTATTTTTTCAACCTTTTAAAAATGGTGAAATCCTTTCTAGTTCATGGGCTTTGCAAAAACATGTGGCAGGCAGAATGTGGACTTTCAGCTGTTGCTTTCCAGCTTCTCTTTTAACTGGTTCATTTATTCCATTACATACGGAGTCTTATTGGAAATACCTTGTTTATTGAGATGCCATTTTTTCCCTGGTGCATTGAAACAGAAAGAAAAAGTCTTTTTTCAAAAGAAAAACTTTCTAAATGCCCCAGGTAAGATTGTTAAGAAATGATCACACTTGGAGATAGCTTTTTCTCTATCTATGTCCTACAGCAGGCAATTCAGTTACAGCTAACCCAAACACAGATATATTATTTCTTTTATCATTCTTCAAGCACAGAAATCAATGGAACTAATCACATAGGCATGTGCCTACGGAAAAACAAAATGTGACTTCTGCCATTAGGGCCAAATATGGCGCTCCAGGATGCAAGCCAAGGTAAGGCTGAGAGCTGGCCTGGATGAGGTATGCCCCTGCTGTCTCCCACACATGCCTCAAGATAGAAGTGATCCCAAATGGTAACACTGCAGCTCCCCTTCAAAGGTTTGCAGATATGTAGTCTTTTTCTATTCTTGCCCTCCCAGTCCAAAGAAAGATTTGAGCCGTTCTCAGGTCTCATTCCTGATGCAAGGCAGATATAACACAAGTCTCAGTGCCTGTTCCTGTGTTAAGAGTGTTCTTTGAAGATATGGATGCCCCATAAATAAAGGTACAACTTTTCCAGCCAGCTATGGGGATACTATTAAAAATACCTTAGATCGGGTAATTTATTAGTAATAGAAATGTATTTCTTGCAGACTGGGAAATTTAGAAATACCAACAGACCTGAAATCTGACGAAGACTCCGTTGCACAAAGACAGCATTCTCACATGACAAAAGGAGCTGGGCAGCTCTCTTTGACTTCTTTATAAGGGAACCAATTCTATTCCTGAGGGTTCCACCTCGTGACTTAATTATTTTCCTAGAGATTTCACCTGCTAATACTATAGCAGTAAGTTTTACGTTCTAAAACATAAATTGGAGGGCAGAAATCACTAACATTCAGACTGTGGCAATACCCAACCATTCTGGGACTGGAGAAGTTTTCCTGGGACATGGCCTTTTCCAGTGCTAACACTGGGATGGTTTGTCAACCTGAAAGTGAGGCCTTTCTATTTCTGTATCTCTGTCTTTTTACCCTTCTCCAAGTTCTCCCAAGGGTAGAATCATCCATGACTTCTTTGTGAAGCAGAAGTCAAACTAGTTTGGGAAAGAAACCTTTTATGGAAGACCCTAAAACCATTCCACTTAATGTTTTTTCAAAGGAAAGAGGTACTTTTTATTAGAGCATTCATGAGCATTAACAGACCCTCTTCTCAATTTCAAGTGTTCTTATAGAATTAACTTCTACTTCAATCTTGTTTAAAAAGAACAGTTTATAAAAGACAAATGCTATGCCTCTTTGTTCCTCTAATATCTTCCTAGCACAATTGGATCTGTCCTTATCATAGGCTTAGCTTCAATTTAGATAACTTCTAAAGACTTCTTTTGCCCTAAGTTCACTGAGAAAGTGTAACTCCAGTGGGCTTTTAAGGGTATACTTGACCAATATATATATTTACAATTTTTTTGAAGAGGAAAAAGAGAAGTTCTTTATTTTTATAAAACAGAGGTCAAAGTCTGCATCTGAATCTGGACCATGGCTGTCTCACACACACACACACACACACACACACACACACACACACACACTCACTCACACACAAAACACACACAGTTTTTGAAAAATAATTGAGCTAACATTTACTTTGGAGAGGATTTCACACGAACATCTAGATTTCTAGCTTCACCTGAAATACTGGAACATCTGGAGATGTTAGACTCACACCCTATAAAGCTACAGCTTGGATGCCTCCCAGTTGTTGACCAATATATTTTAAATCATGCAAAGTATATTTTTGGGTGCCCTACTGAGAATGTGATAAAACAGACTACTTATATACACAATAAAACTAAATCAATAAACCAAGCACCTGTCCTAGCTCTGACCTAATTACCCTTTTGCCCCTTGTGGTGATTTACAAATTCAATAATGAATCACCCAGTCAAGTATGAAAAATCAGTGAACTATATATTTATGTATCCATGAGATTATGTACATAAAATTATTCATCATTTAATGCCGAATTTAGGTATTGCATTTTGATCTCCCTGATTACAGAAAATCAATATGTTACTAATTCTAGAAACAAAAAAGCAAACTTTGAATATAGCAATGGAAACAAGAGTCATAAAGATCTTAAGCTGAATACATGGATCTTTAATGTTAATAGTGGACAATTAAGCAATGTGTTCATGGAGCGAATGTTTTTATGTTAGAACTCAGTGTCACCAGTGTTTTCAATGATGTAAATGTAGAGGCTGATGCCTCTGCCCTAAATTGGCCCACATGAAGCTTTTCCTGTAGCAGATGAAGCCTCAGAGCTGTGCAGCAGCCTTTGAGATAGAAGGGGGGACAGGAGAATGAGTCACCTACCTGACCAGGTCGATGACCCGCTCCCTGGGTGCGGCACTGACCGGCTCATCATTAATCATTACGATCTGATCTCCCGGAATCAGTTTGCCTTCAGAGGGGCCACCTGGAGAAAAAGGAAAGTGAAGACCATTGGTCACCCAACCAAACTGTCTTCTTCCTGTTGCGACTCATGTGAGCCAATGGTGCTATCAGATAGAACAAAACCCAACCACACCTGGGTGTTCTTCCCACAAACCTGAGGATCAGGCTGCTCCCTGAGCAATTGAATCAACATCTTTGAGAGTAGGACGCAGGCATCCACATTTCCCTAAAATATCGTGGACAAGACTGGGACTCAAGTTAGTAGTATGCTCCCCATTGTGAGTCACCTGTGAACCCTGAACAAGTGTGCAGGGGGAGATTATGTATTGCTCACAAACTCCTAATGCTGATGCTGCTGGGCAAAAGACCATGCCCTGAATGGCTAGGTAGCCAATTAGCTGTGTTAATGTCCTGCCACAAAAGCTGCAACAACGTGAGAGCAGCTGGATTCGTACAAAATTCCATTTATTTGCTCATTATAAGCAGGGAGACTTCACACTGTGGGAAATCATGAGCATCTCTATCGGGGGTGTTCAAAAGCACTTATTATATGACCTGGTCTTGTGCTACATGCTGCTGGAATGCTCTCAAGGAAGTGAGGTTTCCATGGTTTAGATGCTAACAGAAAGTGGGAGCAATTTTGTCATAAGCATTTTAATAATTGTGAAATGAAGGAGGCAGAGTTAGGTGACACATCAGTTAGGCGAGACGAAGAAGTAGCAGTCAGTTATACAGCGAAGGGGTGTGGTGGGTCATGTTCCGGGTTTGGAGTGTGCTTGAATGTTTGTGTCTGTGCTCACTTATGATTACTGAGGAGTCTTGTTTTGTCATAATCCATTAAAGTCACAGGGTGGCCTTGGCTAATGGTGATACTTAGTGAAGTTGTTTGCATTCAGCAGAACAGCCAGGCCCATCTCTGGATGTCAGAGGCTGTTTTGCTCTCTCCGTTGGTTTTCCAGCGGGGGAGTGAGAAATTAATGTCTGTTGAGCAGTGTGTCTGCACCAGGCACTGGGCTAAATGTTGTGTCTGTCAACTTCACTGAGTACTGCAATTCTTTCCATATAATGAGATCACTGAACTCACATCAGTGAAAGAACGGGCATGAAGATAGGACTGGTTCTCAGCTAGGACTGTGGACTCCTCCAAGTTCAGAAGGGCCAACATATCTTTTAAACTTGTTTTCACAATTCAAAGTCTCATCAAGGCCAGGTCTTCTGATACATAAACTTAAAGCCATCTCCGTGTAAAATATACATTGGTATTTAAACAAAACCCAAAATCGATTATTTGGATTATTCTCACATGTCTACATAGGTGGAACTACCTCTCAAATCTTGATATGGTACTTAGTGGTAATATATCTTTAACTATAGTTGCAGAGGTCTGGCACTTGGCGGCAGGTACAGCTGCAATGTTATCTTTCAAATAATATCACTACTACTGTTTTGTAATTGAAACGAACACTCCATGCCCAGAACAAGAAACAGATTCATTCAGTTGTTCTCCACCCACCCAGACACTTAGCATATGTGTCACTCAAGCTGTAGCATAAATTTGTCTTCTTCCTGGGGAGTAAGACAGTAGGGAAACCTTAACATGTACCCATATCAGTGATAGAAAATATTCATTTCACAGATCTGGGAACTGAGACTCAGTGTTTGCATACATCAGAGTTCAGAAAAATCACTTGAGAAACCATTGGATTATGTGCAAGCAGTTACTGCAATTCAGTCAAACAAATGGTTAGAAATCAAATAAATGCTGGGCAAGCACAGAAAAGTTTTCAAAGTAGCTATCTGGAGGATAGATCTCAACTATTCTGAGCAGAAAACCACCTCAGATCAACAGGATGTTCTTGCATTTCACCTACGTTTTTGATCAAATAGAAATATTCTTGTTTAATCAAGCAAGTTGAATCAAGAATTCTGGAAGAAGCAATACACATTTCTTCCAAACTATAGAAGAGTGGCACCCTTCTAAGAATTGTCTCAGGCCTTTACTCTGAAGATTGGGTTGTGTCATAAAGAACATCTGGTCACAGTACTAATATCTCTTGGGACTTGAGGAAAGTGATTTTTATGACAGATACAGTTTATCTGACCATAATTTTCACTCACAAAATAAGAGAAACTGGTATTGTTTGATCTATTTTTGCATTTTTGTTATACTCTTCTCCAACAGTAGATGTTAGCGCCATTGAAGACAAGGAGAGTGTTGAGGGCAAGGAAGGTGGGGGGTTGAGGGAACAATAAGACAATACAAGAAAGTGAAAATTAAGATTGGATTCTTCAGTCATCTCCTACCAGGACATATACCTCAGAAAATCTCATAACCAGAGATGTTAAACTACCCTAGCATCATAAATCAGCATCGCGAATGTGTTCCCACTGAAAAGAAAGTATGTATGTACATAGAACCATAATACACTGTATATGAGGCATGACAAATGTATGTGCGCATGTGCAGAATTGTCTGCTATACATATTCTCTCGGTGTACATGAATGATGGTTGTGTCTTGGTAGTAGAAATTCAGGTGATTTTTAAAACGTTCTTCTCCTACTATATATGTTGTTTATAATTTTAGACAATGCATACATACATTATTTTATCACACAAAGCATCACGTCTATTTTGCAAATGAAATTCTCATTTGTGTCAAGCTCAATAATTACACGTTAAGAACTAAAATACGATCTACATCTAATGAAGTAAAGAGTTCAGCAGACAGAATGAGAAGTTTTGTGGTGGGACAGTGGTAGGAGGGAACAATACTTTCTCAGCACAAGTCTAAAGTGGTTGATTATATCTGTGGTGCTTGCCTGGAGCACATTATGGCAACATAATTAAAAATTAAAAATTTAATCAATCTTAAACATGTACATCAGTTCACAAGTTGACTTTGGTTTCCCGTAATTGACAGATCCAACTGGCCAAATATTTTAGAGTTCAATAATAATAAACAGCACTATAGTAAGTACTGCTATGTATCTGACATTTTTATCAGATGCTCTCTGTAGCCCTTTAAGGTGGGTACTACTCGGCTTCCTACTACATAGATGACAGAGAAATCACATTGAACTGAAAAGCAGGGTCCCCATGGAAGCTAATGAGCCGAAAAGAGCAGAGGCAGGACTCATATTCAGGCAGTCTGACACTGGAATCTCCACTCTTAGGCACAGTACTTTACTACTGAATTCTGCTTCTGATTTTCAAAACCCTTGAGAGCAACAATACAGAAGAATATTTTCTTTTGTGTAAAAATAAGTCCATTATGAGTCTATTGTAATAAGTACCTAAATCCATATAATAAATAAATCACAAAAGTATATTGTTTCTGGAAAGGCAAAGCCAGGCCATATCAGGCAATTAAATCAGAGTCTATGGTATTCAACTGTGCCGACAGTGGAAAGTCTGTATACTCTAATATGAATGACTGAGAAAAAATTAACTATCATATCTTAGAATATGAGGGATTTGACATGTATTATATTGGTCAGCATTTGCTGTATAACAAACCACCCCAAAACTCAGAAGGATGTCCAATAATGTTTTTTTTTGTTCATTTGTCTCTCATGCTTATGAGTTTTTAAGACAATCACAGACCAGCTGATTGAGGTCAGACTCAGTTGAGCAGTTGGTTTATTTATTTACTTGTTTGTTTGTTTGTTTGTTTGTTTATTGAGACAAGGTGTCACTATGCAGCTGAGACTGACCTGGAACTCACTATGTAGCCCAGGCTGGTCTTGAACTCACAGCGATCCTCCTGCCTCAGCCTCCCGAGTGCTGGGATTACAGGCGTGCGCCACCATGCCTGGCGGGCAGTTGGTTTAAACTGTAGAACAGGCTGTACTACAATCTGAGGCTCAGGCTGAAGAAGTAGCAGCCACCAAAGGAAAACTGTCTTCCTATGACCCTGGCAGAAGCTCAAGAAGCAAGTTCAACTGCATGAACTTTCCCCAAAGCTTTGTTCATGCCATCTTTGCTAATATGCCACTGACCAAAGCCAGTCACCTGGTCCAGTCCAACAGCGGTGGGGTAGGGAAATTTATCCTGCCTCCAGTGGGAAGGGAGGGGAGTACATATTTTTAAATTAATTCAACGCCCCTGAAGACTAAATTGTATGTACTAGAAATTAAACACCACTTTCTGCGTTAAAAATAACTAAAAAATTCATCACATGTTTTACACATCACATGTTTTACATATACAGTACAAATTTCAGTCTTTTAGCATTTGCATTTGTATGTTAAGAATTAGGTCATTTCTATGGTTACAGAGGATGAATCCATATTTTCTCTGAGTCAAATAGTATGATAGCTTTGACAGTTGAAAACTTAGTTGGAGGAGACATTTGTGTTCCTCTGATGTTCTGACTCTACCCAGGTATTGGGAAAACTCAGACAGCCCTCGCAGCCTGGACATTTATGAAAGTGAACATCAGTCACCGGGTATGGTGTAGAAGGTGGTCTGAGGACACCAAACGGTGGGGCTGGATCCTTACCTGGTGTTACTGAGCGGACGACCACTGGCTTTTCACTCCCGGCCACAAAGCCGAATCCCAGCACAGGGTCCCTCCGCATCTCCACCTTCCGGGGAGCTGGAGGGATGATTTGGCAGCTCTCTAACCGAGGGTCGTCAAATGGGATTGCCTGTGTCATGTGACTGTGAGGAAAGCAAATAAACACAAGAGAAACAAGGCATCAGTGTATTAGGCATTGACTTGTCAATCACATGCTCTGCAATTCTTTTTTTTATTCAAATAAATATCCTTTATTAAAGAACAAAAGGGCATGCTCTGTAATTCTGACACCTAGTCTCTCTCTGGCACAGAGTGAGAAGGATCTAGCTCCTTTTCAAGGCTTCCTGCTTTAGGCCTTTGCACTGGCTGTTCCCCTGACCTGGAATGCTTGTCTTGCAGATTTCTGTACAGCTCACCTCTTCCTTTCCCAAGCCCTTGCTCATGTATCATCCTGATTCCTTATGTCTTCAATCCACTTTTTCCTCTCTTCTATATACTTATCCACAGTACTAATCACCTGCTAATGTGACACAGAACATACTTTTATCATTTCGCTCCTACATTAGAACATCTACTCTATAAAACTTAATTTTATTCATGGATTTGTCTCAGACACTGTGACCATTAATGCTGAGACACCGATCTCACTGGGATAAGAAACACCTAGCAAATTAGTAAGACATGGCTGCTGTGTACGTCTGGGTAGGTACTGTGAATGTCTGGAGGCTTCACCTTGGGTACTACACAAGGTTTGTCACTGAGTCCTCTCTGGTACTGTTCTGCCCTGCTTCCCAGGGCAAAAAAAAAAAGCTGTGCTCCACTACTGTGTTGTTTCTGCCTTAGAGCCTGCTGGCTATGAGATGAATATGATGCAATCACGAGCTAAATTTAAACCTCTTCTCCTGTAAGTTGTGGGTATTGGGTACTCTGTCTCCGCAACAAGAAAGCTGAGTGATACAGGTACCTAGAACGGTATCTGACACATAGGAGATTCTCAGTTAGTAACTAAATTAAATAGAGGCAAACAATTCTGGAAAACAACTGTCATTACTGACACACTGAGAAACAGCCTCAGAGGGACATGGGCATTTGGTAGCTAATATCTATGGCTTCTTCCCTCAGAGAAATTGAGGTAATATGGATCATTTTGGTGGTGACATGTTATCCTGGTGCTAAATACGTCTACCTTTCCAAAGAAGTTGAGAATTTGGCTTCGAGCATTTACTTTATGGAAAGATTTTTGAAAGCTTTAAATGAATTTTTCATTAATACCCTAACTTCTGAAGTCTGATCAATAATCCAAGCTTGATATTTGTATAGCATTCAAAAATTTTCACTTTTTTTAGGGGGCGGTTTGTGAGACAGGGTCCCACTATGTAGTCCAGGCTGGACTCCATGAGCCTCCTGTCTCAGCCTCCTGAGTGCTGGATCAAAATGCTTTTAATTCATAAAACACCACTGATAACAAGGGAGCAGAGCAAATATTATTATTTTTATGCTTCCAATAAGAAAATTGAGATAAAAATCGTGGCTCATTGTGACTCAGGAGCCATGGCTGATACACCAAAGAGCCAGGTCAAAGACCAAGTTCCATGATTCTGATAAAGTCCGCATTCATGCATATTATCCAAAGCAGCCTCCTTTTGGGGAAAAGAGTTATTAGTTTGAACACTAGCTATCTCCTTAAAGTAATGTAAGCTAAAATTATTTCAATGACAGGGGCTTAATTCAATTTTTTTCTTTATAAACTTCTTCAATAAGTAAAAGAATTTCATTTTCAAATACCTTGTATGATGCTACTCTGTAGGCCATCTGGACAATATATTGTTCAAATTTAATAAAGAAAGACAGGGAAGAAGGAATCCTGTTGTCTCTTTGTATAATTAATAAAAGTTAAGTAAGATAAATGTAGACCCTCTAGGATCTGTCCTTTAGATATCTATCTATCTATCTATCATCTATATCACTGCTTAGGAAAATAAAAGTTTAAAATCCCTTTTAAAGGGAAAGGAAACGTCTTCAGTTTAGCTCCTTGTGATCTGGAATGCTAGGGAAGAGAAAGTGATCATTTGTGTGCCACGTGTTAACACTCATCTGTTACCTTTTTTATCTTTAAAAAACTTTCTATGGTAGAAGCTATTTGACTCCATATAGTCCCTCTTTGCAAATTCTGTGACAGGAAAATAACTGGGCTGAGGTCATACTTTTCTCAGGTATAATCCAGGGATGACTCACACCAGGGCTATGCATTTTAAGTGTCTATTGAAGGCCACTTACATAATTTGCAAGAAGATTACAAATCAAAAACACTGATCCCTTATTTAGGCATGATAAAGAACATAACCAGACAGAAGAACATTAAACCCAACCCAGAGCCCCATCACATGTCACATACCCATGAAGCTTGCTCTGGTATGGTGCTACTCCCAGTATCCTACCATGATTCTAGAAAATCCAGGCTCAGAGTGGAGTGGTAATGTGATAGGGTCAAAGGGGAATGGCTGTTTTATGTGAAATTTTAGGTATCTGTCTGGACCCAGAGATGCATGAATCTTATGGTAGAGACATGCTTGGGACACATGAGAGGCAGGCAGAAGATTACACAGAGAGGCCTGACAGCCAGAGAGCAGAATTAAAGAATCTGAGTAAAGCAGCAAAACTACTGCCAAGTAAGCCCTGGTGTCCAGGGCTGAAGCCTCAGGATGGCAGAGGGACTGAAAACAGGGAAGAGATAGGTAAGCTGCTGGGGGCCAAATCATAAAAAGAACTTCTGATTCTTCCACAGGGCTCCCACTGGTCAGGAACTTGACCTCCTGCCACCTCTCCTGAGGCAGAATGGGATCACCTAAGTATGGTGGACACTGTTGCATTCTCTTATCTTTTGAGCCAGGAAGGACCATCTCAGAATATGCCATTCTTGTGCTACATCTAGAAAAGATCCTCCATTTTCTTTGGTGGAAGAAAGGGAGAAAGAGAGAGGGGAACAAAGGGAAAGGTGAAGAGCCACATTTTGGGAGCCTGAGTTTTTGCCATATTCTATAGCATCACATAGAGAAAAAGGCCAAGTTTGTTGCACCTAAGTGACTTGCTAATAGTCGTGTATTGCAGAACCGAGGCTGGCATAACTCTCGCTGGGGAAGAGTTTTCCTCTCTCTGCTGTCAGTTCTGTAAATGCTTGCAGGCAAGATTTCTAAACTTTGCTACATATTAGGATCACCTGGGGAGCATTAAAAAAATCATAATGCCCAAGTTTTATCCCATATCAGTAACATCAGAATACCTGGAGGTAGAAATCAGGATCAATTTTTAAAAGGTCTCCAGGTGATTTCAAAGTGCAGTAAAGTTTGAGAACCATTCACCTGCCCAAGAAAGAGTAGGTTACAGTGCTTCTTCTAGATAACAATAAAAGAAGACATGAATGATTTCTCTGATTAGCTGCTGAAACATCCACTGCCAATGTAGAGTATTTAAAACATTTGTACTTTGATTGGCCTCTTCCTACTCATGATAAAGTAATAGTAGCTAATGTTTCAATGCATCATTCATTCAATAACTATTACATTATTCTAATGCAATAATGTGACTTGACATTTATTAAATATTAATTCAATGTTAAGCATTGTTTGTTCTAAATGCTTTCCATATGTTAATTCACTTGGTTCTCCAAAGCAACTCCATAATGCATTCCTTTATTCATTTAGTTAACTTATTACACATCCACTGGATTTTCTGTTATGGGAATACAAGAGGGAAAAAAAACCTGACCAAAAATGAAACATCTACTCTAGTGTTGAAAGACAGAGAATAAAGTAATCAATAGTAAAATATATAGTACACGGGGTGATTATAAATAGTGAGGAGACAGTTAATGCAGGCAGAGAAGGAAGCTAAAGACTTTCAGAGTGAGGGGGTTGCACTGTTCTGTCAGGGGCTGGAGGGGCACTTGCCCCAGAGACCATGGAGTGCACAGGGCCTGAGGCACACATGCGTGCTTGGTGAGGGCATACAGGAGGTCATTGTGGGTAGTTAGGGTTTGGAGGCAGAGAGGGAAGGAGTAACGAAGTAATGCTGGTGGGAGCAGATCACAAAGGCTTTGGCCAGGACTTGACTTTTCTCTTCTCTCTATGCATGCGTGTTTGTGGTACATCCTGAGAACATGCACTGTACGGAGTTGGTGCTTGTATATGACATATCTTAATTGTTTCACTTCACCTTCTCCTTCCCCCTTCTAACATCTCTTGGTCCCGTTCCCATTTGCAAAATATCTATATCCCTGTTTCCTTGTCTTTTCTTTTTAAATTTATTTATAATTTGGGTTTCTCATCTAATAGAAACCATATGATACTTAAGCATGTGTGTCTAGTTTATTTCCTTTAACATTATGGATTCAAGGTGCATCCATTTTTCCTACAAATGATTCAAATTTGTCCTTCTTTATAGCACAGTAAACACGGCCTTTCTCTGACTGAAATAGAAAGCCACCAGAAGGTTCTGAATGAGGAAATTACTCAGCTGCTTCCTGAAAGAGTAGGGGACACCGGTAGAAGCAGGGAGGGCATTTTGAGCTAAATTGCATCACTGGTGATGAAAGGTCATGATGGCTTGGACCAAGGTGAGAGGGACATGAGTGGCAGAAATGGTTAGGCTTTTAATAGGTTGGAGGCTGTTCTGACAGAGCAGGGGCAGGACTATTACTCTGGAATCTTCTTCCATCACACATTTCCTCTCAGTAAGGATGGGCCTATGAGGATGTGCCTAATGTACCCAGACAAAGGGGATATTTTCTCTGCTAAGAGGCGTTGTTTCCTGGTTTGTTCAAGAAAAAAATGACCACATACAAGGTGACCATGAGAACTGATGTGGGTGTTTATTTGGAGTGACACTTTGGAACCAAACCACCTGCATTCCAGTCTTAACCCCACCATTCCTGAGACCTACGGCCCACACAAATCACTTCATTAGTCTGTGCCTCAATTTCCCCATCTGGGAAATGATGTAATGACTGTAACAATCTCATATGATACTCGTAAAAATAAATTATTGAATAGATGCGATAAACTCAGCAAATGGCACATAGTAAGGACTCAAAAAATAATTTGCTGTTATTTTCATCTTTGCAAGCCAATGAATAGGAAGGAATCAA